CCCCTCCTTCAAATATAACATTACAAAACTCTGCACCACTCTCCTTTAAATTTAAAAAATTCTCTCCGTCCACTACTTCTGTGTCCTTTACAATGTTTACAAACTCTTAAGAAATTCACATCCCAAGGCCAAGAATATCAAATTACTGCATCTGATGGCATCTGTTTTAAAAACATTTCACTATAATAGTGGTTCTTAACCGGGAGTAAAAGTACCTCCCCAGCCCCGAGGTGCGAAAAATTAGAAAAGTGTATATTTATAACTAGCTGTTGCTGCTTTGCAAAAAAAAAAATCAGTTTTTATGCATTTTGATTAGCAGCAGTAAATGTTTGTCTGGTCAATTTTGTTTGTGCATTACTTCATTACTTGTCTTAGTAATTTGTTTCCCTTGTTTATAATAAGTTAATTAAAGAAATAAAACTATGATAACTAAATTATTTAATTATTTTAAATTTTATTACGATACTAGCCAATATACCCAGCATGGCCCGGGATTGCATTAGGACCCCATCCTGGTGGGACCCCGATCCCATTGGGACCCCAATCCCATTCTTACATCGATCCCAGCACAGTCCCGTTTCCCGGTGTGATCCCGATGGGGTCGCATAACCGATGGGTTCCAGTTTACTGTTTGATCTCCTTCCCCAATACGATTCTGTTCCTCTATGGATCATGCTCAGTGCGATTTTGTTTGAATAAGTTTATAGATCCCATTATATATCCCCATAGAACAATACAGAACCTTCTGGAACATTCAAGATTAAATTTAATGTTCTCCATGAAAGGTGTTAAAAATTACTTTTCTACGAAATTATTTCTCGAATACGAAATATTATACAACTTAATAAATGGTATTACTATAAATATAGTATATTTAAATTGAAATTGGGGCCCCGAACCTGTTTGTGGCCCATTTAATCATGTAATGTTCTAGTTATGTCTGAGATTGGGGGAGGTCTATAAAAATCATTCAGATAAATTATAGAGTTCAAATTAAAATTGTCCTATTAAAATCGGTTTAAAAATGCCACATCGACCCTGAATGGATTGGATATTATTAGTTTTAAATCCACCGATATTTTAATGCAGACTAAGAATGGTATTGCAACAAAGCTAGGCCTAGATCCACCAATACACATAGAACCTATTGCTTTGTCTAAGCCTATTAATATTTAGGATGTTATGAGTTCAATACCCTTCGGTACCCGGTATTTGAATATGGATAATCAAGTGTATGTGTAATAGGTTTGGTCAAGATCCATCCATTCATGTAGGAATATTGATTGTTAATTTTATTTATATATTATATAGCCCATATAAGGAAAAAAACTAATTCGGGGCCCCCGGCCCAAACGTAATGTAATAAAAAGTTCATAACCCCTTAAGAGTTCCTTCCGGATAATGATGGATATATGTGCCAAGTTTGGTCAAGATCCATCATTCCATGTAAAAACTTATATGGAACAAATCCAGCCAGCCATAAACAAACTTTCACTTTTATATGTATGATAAAATATAATTTATGTGGTGGGGGAATGTTTAAAACAGAGTGGGCCTGCTGCGCTGTAAATTGTAAAAAGTTTAAGAATCACTAAGATCATCCCCCCCCCCCCCCCTTCTCAACCTTTGTTTCGTTCCATCCCACTTCACGTGGTACTCCTAATTCTATGATTCCTGTTCCCAGATTCGGACATAAATTGTCTTGTCTGTCAATTGCTCTACACCTATTTTCTCCTCATCCATGGCGGCCTGTAATTTGATCAGAGGCCAAATATTCTGACCTCGCATACCTGTACTGATTCTCTCAGTGATCGTAGAATAAAAATACAATAATTATAGTTGCTGTAAAAAACAATAATGTAAAAAATGTTTGTAATTTAGGGTTATTAAGGGAAGATTTTTAATATAATATTCCCCTTTTATCCCTTCCCCCTCATCACAAAATTCCTTCCACCCTAGACGCGTGACGTCATTTATGGGTTAAAGGACCTTAAAAATATTGAAAGGACAATACTTTGTAGTCTCTTAGTGTACAATTACTATTAATTTGGACTGACAGTACAGAAATTATATTTTACTGAGATTCAGATTATGAGTCTAAATACAAAGGCAGTGTCTCCATGTTCGGCTACCAGATATATAGTGCGGGAGATATTCATCCAGCATGTCACGCTTTATTTAACATTGTCACTTTTTAACGATTTATTCATTATATACCGGGTATATGTATACCGGGTACCAGTACATGAAATTAAATTGAAGTTAATAGTAGATTTAAAACACTTTTAGTACGGTACAGTAATAAGTGAAGATAAAAAATAATACCATAAAAGTATGTTTATAGTCAATAAATGACTATCATGTAATTGAATATAAAACAAAAACTAATTATAAATAGTTTAAGAGCTTTTTAATATATTGTAACATATATTTTGAAAGAAAATATTTTCAAACAATGGTAAGATTAAGATAGTTATTTTAGCTTCAACCCTAATAATAATACTAATGTAATATATGAACACAATTTTACAAAGAAATAAAGGTAGTCGGATGAATATCTCGAGAACTTATTAGCAGGTCATGTAGGTACTTCGAAATATTTAATAGCTTAAAAACTTTATTTGCTTATTGTAAGGCATTATTTTGCTTATTGTAAGGCATGCTACATACATTTACGTTAACTTTAACCAAACAGAGCCTTTTTGAATCATCAGTGCCAAGAAGACAGAGCCCTGGGGTTACTTTACAAAAAAATGTATCACAAAAATAATGAATTATTTTACAAATATCCAACTATATATATTCTGTAAATGACACAATTGACACCACACATTTCACAGTGTTTTTTTTTACTTTCATGGCAACAAAGATGGCGGCGGTGTAAAAAATATTTTTTTTTTTTTAAATGCAATGGAATTGAAAAACATGTTTGCTAAACTGGGTAGGGGAAAGTGAGAGAAGGTGTTGTTTCAACTACCGGTACTTACAGAAAGAAAGGAATTTCATCTGAATAGTTTGGTTTTTTATAGAAAAACATTGAAATAAAGAGGTTCTTTTATAAATGTTAGTTGCATAAAAATTATATTAAAAAAAAAAAAAAATTTAATAAATAAATGGAGGAAGTGAAAAATTCAACAAATTAAAAAACATTAAAAATTAGCAAGCAGTATGCTAATTTATTTACTTTTTCTTACAAAACTCTGCGTAACCTGAATGCTAAGTCAGTATACCTAAATTAAGTGTAAATTCCGCCAAAAAATTTAGCCCCACCCCCCAAAATGAGCATAAATTCAACCCTAAATTTCTAAATTTTTGAAAAATCTACAACTCTATGTAACCTGAATTGCTTAGTAAGTATTCCTAACTGCCACTGCACAATTTTGTTGAAAATAATACTAGAGTCGAAGTGGTTCAAGTAATAGTGAATGATATTTTACTATCCACATTGACAATAAGAAATACATCTCACTAAAATCCGAAAACACTTGGAAATTATATCATATGAATTTCAATTCCTAATTTTTGAATAACATAATCTTCGTTATTTATAATTTATTAACACAATATAAATCTTCATTTACAACAGCAAAGATCTCTGTTCAATCCTCTCAAAACCAACCTCCATTATTCAACTCCCATTTCTGATTTGCCAGTTTTTCTCAAGTCACACCATTCTATATAATTTATCTAAGACATATTTACCATATTACTATTATTACTTATCTCCCATTATTATTCATATCTGTGACACTAACTCAAGCATAAATTCAACCATTATTTTAGCCCCCTTAATTTGAGCAAAAATTAAGAGTGGAATAAAACAATTTTTAAACTTGGTCATAGGGCACAGAGCAGCAGTGATAGTGCGCTCATGACAATGTAACATTACTTTTGTTGCTTGTCCATCCCTCTCTTTCTATATCCGCATAATTTAGAATACCAGTACCTCGATTAAAAAATAAGTTATTATATTATAAATTACCTCAACAAAATGGTGATTTTGGAGTTGGGAAAAGAGGGGGGGAGTCACAATAATAAGACAATTAAATTTTTCTAATATATATATATTTATTACCGTACCCGGTACCGGGTTATGGTATATAATTAATTAAGCAATGTATAAAAATTATAAATATACAATAAGTTGAAAATATTTGTTAAATTTTTCTACACTCTACATAATCTTATAAATCATAACATTATTTCAAATGTTCAGAGACAGAACAGTACTAAGAGTAAGACATTAAGATCTACTTTTTAACAAAAACAGAAAGAAACACCAGTAACTGGCAAAAGAGGGTACCATAAGACACTAAGACTAATCTTTTCACCCAGTAAAATACTAATATTTTAGTGCTAAATAGTTAAACTAGACATGGATGATGCATGAGGGTCTCTTTATAACTATAAGGCAATAGTAAATTTATTAGTTGCTTATTGCTATTACAAAATTTGGTTGCTAAATGTAAAAATATAAACAATCAATGTCTTTCAATTCTATCAATTATTAAAACCTTCTGATTAAATAATTTCAATAGAAAAACTAATTTTGCAGATTTCTCAACCACAATTTGATTTATAAAGACTGAAAAAGTTTAATTGAATAAAAATGAATTTCATTATGATAAAATTGTGCAATTATAATTATATATTAAGAAATAATATATTATGCGACTAATAATACAGAAAAACCAACAGAAATTATTTTTGTTGTAGAGCGTTTAAATATAAAAGACTAGATAAATAAATAAAATAAATAATAATTTGTTATATTATTTAAATCGTGAATTTAAATCTGTTGACTTAAATCATCTCAACACTGGCCAAGTAAATTTATTTTTTGTCTTGCTATTATTTTATTTTCTAATCCATTCAGTTTTTAGGGCTTGTAAGTAAGTAGTATCAGGATTTTTACGAAGTACCGGTATTCAAATTGTTATACATTTAGATTAATATAAGTGTGTACATAAAATACTTATTTATTTTTCTCTCTCCACTACAGGTTTTAATTTTATTTCCTCAGAACTATACGCCCCTGTAGGACTAATAATGAAGCTACTGGAAAAAAAAAACATAGCTCCAGGGGATCATAATTTAGATCTCTCTAAATCTAAAAATATAAATGATGTGGTGAAATCAGAAAATGTTACATTCCATCTTTCGGACATCAAACAAGAAGTTACTCTGCTTTGTGATGTCAAAGAAGAGTCTGAATTCCATCTGAACTCTTTCAACTGGTTTCCGTTGAAAGAAGAGTACATTGAAAATGTGGCCACTAAAACAGAGTCTACTTCAAGTCTTGCAATGTGTAACCAGTCATTTGAAGATGACTCATTGAAATGTAACAATGGAATTTTGCCAAGTGAAATTGAGCTAAAGCTTCTTCACTCAGCCCAAAGCCATACCCATCTACTGCACACAGCTAATGATGGTTATTATTTTGATGCAGTTCCAGATACAGGCAATGAAATAAATGATGCGCACTGGGATTCTGGCATAGTTCACTGTGATCTTCAAGTTAACAATGAACATGGATATTCTTCTCCAAAAAAGCAGAAGAAACAGCTAAATAACAACGGCAAATCAAATATAAATAAAAAACCCATACTATATGCCACCCACAAATTAACAAAATCAAGAACCAGTCTGACCAAGGACAGTATTGGAGTGCATTCACAGCTTTGCACAAGAGAACCCAGAAGAAAATGGGCTACGGGCAATGACAATTTATCCAGGAAAAAAAAGGACACTATGTGCCATAGAAACACACCGACACATAAAGTAAAGAGAACACGTTCCACTTTGACTATCATGGGATATAAGTGTTTCAGATGTGATTTATGTAACAAGACCTGTGACAATTTGAGAACTGTTAAACGGCACATGAATAAGCATACTGGACAAAATTCTCATGTGAGCGATTTCTGTGGGAAGCAATTTTTAAACGTTGGCATTTGCAATAGACACAAATTAATCCATGTAGCTGTCAAAGCCAAGCAGGATATGTTCAAATGTGATGTTTGTGACAAAACTTTCTCCTGGAAACAAAATTTAAGAAAACATTTGTTAAGCCACCCAGATTTCAAGCCTGGTTATAAATGTTTCATATGTGGTAAGGCTTTGTCACAAAAATGTAATTTAGTTACACATACAAGATTACACACAAATGAAAAGCCCTTTAGATGTGACATTTGCGCCATGAGCTTCCCTAGGAAAGATGCATTGACACACCACATTTTGAGACACATGGGACTCTCAGGCAAGAGGCCTTATGCTTGTGGCACTTGTAATCTTACATTCAGAACTAATTCACAGTTGAGTACACACACTCGAACACACACAGGAGAAAAACCATTTAAATGTCAAGTGTGTGATAAGTATTTCAGGAGGGAGCAGCATGTAAAAATTCACTCCCTGGTGCATACTGATGAGAGGCCTTTCAAATGTGATGTTTGTGGTGAAAAATACAAACAGAAAGGTTCATTGGTGGCGCATAGGGAAAAGCAACATAAGAATATTAAATAATTTGAGATGTTGTTAACACAATTTGTGATGTTGTTAACACAAATAAGTTATGCTTGTTCTTCACTTTGAAATGGAAATATTTGTAGTACTGCTCCAGTCCAATATAAAATTTTTATTACTGCTTCAGTATTAAATTAATAGAATATATCACCCAATGTTATCTGGATAACATCCACATATAAATGTACACATCCTATTTCCTACCTCTGATATGTATGTACCCAAAAAGCTTAATTATTTATCAAATTCATTCCTTTTTTTTGAGACACATCTTGTGCTGCCTGGGGCAAATTGACCAACCCCCTCCCCTTCCCAGATTTATATAAAATTAATAAAATCTTCCACTGGATTGAAGTCCTTTCCATACCCAAAATGACATACTTGCACTTCATATGTTTTGTTCTTATTCGGATGAGATATAAGTAAGTGGATTAATGAATCCTATTTGGATATGTAGTTTTGCTGCACTGACTGACTTATACTGTGTTTTCTTATTAGAAATATACGGGTATTTAAATGTTAAGTTTTTATTATGTTATAAATTTAATTTTAATAAGAGTAAAAGTATAATTTTTGGAATTTAAAAAAGTAAAAATTTATTAAAGGTACAAAATGCAACGCTAACATTTTTGTGTGTTTTATTAACAATTTAAAAAGCAATCAATTCTATGGATTAAAGTAATGTTAAATCAAAGAAACTGAGAAGTTTGGCTAAATAAAATAGGCAATCCTCTATGATGTCATTTGAGAATTTATTTAGATCAAATTAATTTTATTTCGAAATATTAATAATGCACTGACAAAAGCACCTAAAACATTAGATGTTTGGGTTTTCCCGATAAATATCACGATGTAATTCTTAGATCATATTTTTTTTATTTATATTTTTTTTCTTAACTTTTAAATTCGGATAAAATGCTTACATTTTAAAATATTAGTTGTTACTTTAAATGTATTTTTAGTTTATAACAATAATACTTAAACTTTCACTGAAATAAAAGGTGATTATATACATTTAAATTTCGAAGTGGTTATGCGCAGCCGACTGCGTATAACCCTGAGAGTTATACGCAGTCTGCAAGTCACGTGAGGTCTATATGAGTCCTGTGTTACACAATCAATCAATAAAGGTGCCTCCTAATCAGATTGACTGGGTGGTCGAATGGACTAAACTGAGCAATCCTCAAGTTGGTGGACTTGAGTTCAATTCCAGCCGAGGTCAGCCATGAATACGTGTTAGTTGTTATGTTTGTTCTCGAGAATGGAGCAAAAACAGCTAGGGTTATTGTTTTATTTTGTTGTGGCTAAAACATGTTTAAACATGATAAGAATTATTAACTTGACCAATGTAAGGTTAATAATGTTATTCTTATAATTATCATATTATATGTTTGTGTTGTTAATATATATTTTGTGCTGTTAACTAATTTTGTAGCAGATAAAAACATGTTTCCCTGGTACAGTAATTATAATCAGGGGTGGTGAGTAGCAGAAAAAATAGCTGTAGGGGCAGGGGGTTCTGTAGAGAGGGCACTGTATGTAAGTAATACTTTCAAACAGTTATAGTTTTGCATGGAAGCTGAAAACTGTTACATTTATGTCACCAAAAAAAGAAATTATAATTATAAATTATATAATTTTTAAAAATAAATAGAATGTAATGTATTTCCTGAATTAGTCAGTAAGACCAACCACAAGGTCATAGCAACATATAAAAAACTAATCAATCAGAATACAGAACTAGACTTAGACCATGGAAATGGCTTTTAAAAAATCATCTTCTCAGGCTTAGACTCTAAGAAATGTAGACTTTGACTTAGATTTATAATTATAATATATAAGATTATACAAGCAATAATACTAATAATAGCACTAATACTAATACTATTACTATCATTCAATATTAATAATTATTAATTAAAATTAATTCAATTAAAATTTTACATTAATTAAACACATTAAAAGTTCCAGTTCAAAACAACCCATAATGCAGCTAATTACGCATAATCCTTTTTTTTAAAAATTGCCAAACTAGCGGTAACAAACCTTATTTGGCTAAATTCCCAGCCGACTGCTCATAACGCTTCCCTTTAAATTTATTCGATTTGCGACTTAGAAAATAACTATGATTGTTTTTTTAAGAATCAAAACGTATTTAGTTGAAGTTAAATCTCTTCGTTTCTTTAGCGTTACAATCAGCCTAGCTCATTCTTATACTTATATATATTAGTATTACTTCTCCAAAATTAACGTGTTAGTACTGCTTCAACACTAAATTGTTAGCACTGCACCAGCATTATTTTGTTAATGCTGCTCCAACATTAAATTGTTAGCACTGCACCAGCATTATTTTGTTAATGCTGCTCCAACATTAAATTGTTAGCACTGCTCCAATATTAAATTTCACTTTCAAATGTGTCCTACTGAAGAATAAATAAATGTGAAAAATATACATGCAAATCCCAATTTTTAGGATCAATACAATTATTTACATTTTATACTTGACATAAGCTATTTCTTTAGTTTCTAGCACACTCTTTTAAGTCGTAGAGTGGACTAAACTAAAACTGAGATTTCATTTTTATTTTGTTAATCTTTGTTGCCATTAAAAATAGATATACGGTACCGGCCCATGAGTCCAGCGAAGTCAATGGCCATTTAAATGGACCTAACAAGGTACCAATGTAATAGAAATAGCGAATTCATAATAAATTGGGTGCTTGGTGGTTGAGCGATCTGAACCGATTCAATCCAAATACCTCGTACTCGTGTTCAATCACCAGAAAAGTTCAGTCGAGCAAAAACGTCACCAGCACCCCGTGTGGATGGGACGCGTTAACCTTGGATGGTAGCTCATCTAAGTAAGAGAAGGAAACTCTGAATTCAATCCCGGGGGTGGAGCCCCGTACACAATGAGTATTCCGGTAACTGCTGCGACGCCACCGTTGCCAAGCTGTATCATCCACACGGTGAATGGGTTGTCTTAGGGGCGTGGAGAGAGGCGATTTGCTGTCAAGGGAACCAGCTGATCCTTAAAAGAAAAATCCCAGGTCTTCTGATTTCGTTGTGCGAAGTGTGCACCATTGTCACGGACGGATCCCAGTACCAATAAGAGATTATTTTAGTTTGAAATTATTAAAATATTCGTACCGGTAACTAGATGTGACCAGCCACTAACTGAAGTTACTTGAGGAAAACATGCATTTAAATTCAATCAGGGAACGCATTTTATAAGAATCCTAATTAGTGCCAAATTTGGGGGATGTGTGGAGGGGAGGGGGGGTGTGTAATGGCCAAAATAGCGAGACGTCATTTATTTTATCGATGCCTCGCCCCCCATACTGAAAATTCTCCATTGCAGCATGGCCTGGATTGGGATGACGTCGTTATCTGTTGGCTCCTCTCGGTCATCGTCTAGTGTACAGTAGTGAAGACTTAACTTGTGTTTTTAAGGCTTGGAGTTGGAGTCGATCTCCGATGCACTGGGTTACCACTGTAGGGCAAAGGTTCAACTGCTTAGAGGCAATCCGTCAATGAAGTCACACTATTTTGGACCCCCGACCTCCCAATCACAAATTTGTAAAAAAAAAAAAAAATATTTAAAAATGACACCTTCATGATAGATTGTTACAATATCCCCCCCCCCATCATCTAGATCAGGCCTGCACAAAATACGACCCGCGAGCACCAGTTGTGAGGCCGCGAAGTAACGTAATGAAATATCCTTTATTATTATATTTTATTAGCTTCCCCCCTCCCCCTTGTCCCATTTTCTTTCGACCCGCACACATTTTTCATAAAGTATTAGTATTACGGCCCGATTAGCATTTTGAGTTGTGTAGGCCTGAACTAGATGCTTGACGCCATTTATGGTTGACCCCCTTAGGCGTGACGAAAGAAGGATACCGGTACCGTGTTGCTGATGGGGTAGTTCGCCCCGAAAAGCACTTTTTTCTTTATATAGTTAGGGGCAGAATTTTTTGGGGGTGGGAGGGGGAAGGGCCAAAAAGCTTTGCACGTTCCGGGCCACACTGCCCCTATTGGCCTCCACGAGTTTGACGTTATATTTAAAGGCAAGCTCCTCTGTTTTACAAATATTTGGACGTACCCCATATTGATAATATTATGTAAAAAAATTAATTTTGATTCATGCAATTTGAATATTTGTTGTACTCATGAGTACCGTGTATCGTGGATAAAAAAATATGACCACATCACCCAGTTCTACGAGATCAGCTGCATAGAAGGATCTGCACCGGAATATCTTAAAGAACTGATTTATAAACATATATCCAGAACCTGCTGTCTTCAACACAGTTTTAATCAGAAAATTCCTAGTGTGGATGAAAACAGAAAATAAAGTCTTACGGAGTGCACTCTTTTGAAGCGATAGTGCCTAAATTCTGGAACAGTGTGCCTCAGTCTTTTAGGCGATTAGAAAATGATAAAAAAATCATTTAAGAAATATTAAAATACTTTTTTGTTTAAATAGATTTAAGAACACCAGAACGCAGTGAGCATGCTAAAATAGCATCATACCAGCGCTATATAAATATCCAATCCATCAATTAATCAATGAGACGGCAATAAACAAAAAGCTCTTAAAATGTATATTTTTTTTAGTCATCTATATTTTAAAAGCAAGTATAGCGATACATCTCGCGCTCAATCACAATCGCACATACACACGAAAAGACCCGAACTAAGGGATCACTTCCAGTCAACTTAGAAACATGACAACATTTAGTTTAGGATCCATCCATCTATCCCTGTGGCGCTACAGCCCATGTTGAAGTTTGGCCTGACTCACCACTTCCATTCAGACGTAATTAAGGATTTTCTTTTCCATACTTGGATTCCCTCTTCACTCCTCTGTCTTTTGGCATTCTCTCTAAGTGTCCCACCAAGCGTAGCCTGCCCCTTTTTATTATTATTTTTGCTACTAGCATGGGATCCTGATATAGACTGTACAATTCATGATTGGTTCTTATTCTCCATCCATATTCATCTTTTGTTGGTCCATATAGTTTCCGGAGAACTTTTCTCTCCCATGTGTTTAATAGTTTTTTGCCGTTTTTTTTTTGTTAGGGTCCGAGTTTTACTTGCGACCGTTACAACCGGTGTGATAAGATGATACAGCCCAAAAAATCCATAGAAAATCGAACTTTCTAAACTTAAAAAAACAACAACAAAAACACGGGGTTCCTGCTAGGGTTTTTACATATATCTTTAACCGCCTTTTTCTCCATACTAGAAAATCAAACCTGTACTCATGAAATCACAACAATACACTGGTATCGTACTTAAATATATAAATATATATTAAATATTTAAATTAACATGATAGAAGGAGCGTCGTGGGGTCGGACAGCGAAAGGGTTTCGGAAGAATCATGCGGGGGAAACTTTATTTCTTAAGACACATGACGTCACTCACGTTCGTAATCGTTCTAAATACTAGTTGTTTTACTTTTGCACAGCATTTGAACAAGTGGCATCATTTTGATTTTTGTTAACTGTGCTCACCAAACAATAATGTAAGCATTTAGCATTAGTGGCT